ATTCTGTCTCTATTTATCAACTATCATCTCATTATCATTCAATATCTCTCATCTATCATCTCTATCTATTATTATCTCTATCATCTCTATATTTATCATCTCTATCTCTATTATCTTTCTCATCTTTCTTAACTCTCTATCATCTTTATCATCTATCTCTCTCATCTCTATCATATCTTTATCATATCTCTCTCATCTCTATCATCTATCTAATCTCTCTCATCTCTCTCATTATCTCTCTCATCTCTACCTTTATCATCTCTTTATCATCTAATCTCTATCATCTCTACCTATCTCTATCATCTCTATCTTTATCATCTTTATCTCTATCATCTCTCATCTTTCATAAATGTCTCTATCATCTTTATCATCTCTATCTTGCTCAACTCTCATCTCTATCACTATCTATCATCTCTGTCTTTATCTCTATCATCTCTCATAATTCTGTCTCTATTTATCACCTCTATCATCTCTATCTATCATATCTCTCTATCATCTAATCTCTCTCTCATCTATCATCTCTATCTCTGTATCATTATCTCTATCATCTCATCTCTATATCATCTATCCCATTCATCTCTATCTCTATTATCTCTACTTACCTATCATATCTATCCCTCTGTTGTCTATCAGCTGTATCTCTCTTTGATCTCTATCTATCGATTGATCTATCAATCTACATATGTCTAATTCATCCACTGTCCACCTCACTTTCAGAGTGATTCTGGGCTTTTACAACTGAAGTTATAATCCATCACTCAACCTTCACAAACCCAGAAACGGACTTCTTTTCACAGAAGCTGAAAGCAAAGCTAAGCATCCAAGAAACCAAGCGAGGATTGTTGAATTTGGCCAATGGCGAACTAGTCAATTCCCAACATGCACCCAACACTAGATGGAGTTCAGACAATACGCCTCTGGCTACCAGTGGAAACGGTGCAGTGGCTGTCAGACCTGGGGCCTATATATTACTTTCCTTATGGACAAGATAAGAAATAGAAGCTTATTTCACTCACCACATATCAGCCTCAAGGCCCAAAGGTTCATAATTCACTATTTCTGGAGCTGTGGAAAGGGAGGAAGGGATACATAGATGAGAAGGAAGGAAAGGTTGGATGGGAATGAATGAATGAGGGAGGGAGGGAGGGAGGGAGGGAGGGATAGATGAATGAGAAGAAAGGAAGGAAAGAAGGAAGGGATAGATGGATGAAAATGAATGAGGAAG